AAAAAAAGTCAGAATTGTGAGATAAAATAGGTAGGCTAAATGTAATGTAAAATGTTATAGGTTTAAATAGTATTTCATGCTTTAACTATAGGGCTAATACAATATGTCCCCTATGTGAATATTATATAGACCTATTGTTTAAATCAAATTTATGCTTTAAAAGTAGGGTAATCGTAGCAGGTTTCATCTATAGTTTGTCTGTTTAAACGTCTGCGTTTAGCTTCAAATGGCGTCTTTGATAACATTATTCTATAAAACATCCAAGTTTCATGACATCCAAAAGCACAACAATACATTTTTTCTCTTATTCCATGGATTTTACCCGTTTCCCTCTACTTGCTCCCAGTGTTTTTCTGCCACAACAATGCGCGCGCAACTGCAAGTGACGTAACTGTGATGTCTACTCCAAATTGGTCTATAGCAGACATAGCCGGCTGAACGTACTGTATGAGTGCATTCTCTTAAAGTGACAGCACTTTCTTAATATTAATCATACAGCAACAACAAGGAAAACGCTCACTGCACTTGATTGAATAGCATTTTTAACTTTAATAAAGATTAATCTTTAATTTATACAGTAAAATATGCAATGCTATTTTACATTTGATTACTTTATTCAATTTCTGTACCTAAAACTAATGTTAGACCTACCTTAAAAAACCTGAAAATCACTGTTTATTTTATTTGTATCTTTACTGTATTGTATTTATTTGTGCTGTTGCTTGTAGTCAGATAGATTCATCTTATTTTCTTTATTTTTATTTGACAGTATAGTTTTCCCCTAAACATAGCACATACCGAATCGTACCAAAACCATGACTCTAAAACCGTGATACAAACCGAACCACGAATAAGTTGAACCGTTCCACCCCTAATACATATATATTTTATAATAAATGTGTGTGTGTGTGTGTATATATATATATATATACACACACACACACTTATTATAAAATATATATGTGTGTATGTATATGATGCATGAAAAAATATATAAAACGCATGAAAAAAGTATTTAAAAAAGTGTCTTAAAAATGAATGAATAAATAAATAAATAAGTACATACATACATAAATACATAAACTAACATTTTCCATGGAAATCACTCAAAAAAAATCAACTGGTCTAAATCATTTTTCACCAAATATTAGAACATTATACACAGAATTACAACCATATTTTAATTTAAATGCAGTTGGCCATCAGTGTTGGGAGTAACGCATTACAAAAGTAATAATATTACAGTAGTATATTACTTTTTGCTGTAACGCAGTAATATAACGCATTACTAATAAAATTTGGGTAATATTATTACTCGTTACAATCTCAGTAACGCAAGTTACAACAACATATTTTAACTCAAAATTAAGTGGTGAATTTACCAACACAGCAAAACAGCACCAGAGAAAAAATTCCACGGGTAAAATAGTTTGTCTATCTTCTGTTGCTGGAATTAGATGCTTGAGATGACTGCAGAATTTTGGTGAAAGTAACTCAAAAGTAACTCAAAAGTAGTGTAACGCATTACAATTCAGAGACAGTAATATTGTAATGTAACTAATTACTTTTAAAAGACAGTAACTAGTAATATATAATGTATTACATTTTGGAAGTAACTTGCCCAACACTGTTGGCCATAGACCCCTATATATAGTTTACTTATTGCCCAATAACTGAATAAAATGAACGAATGACTGAAGGAACGAATGAACAAACAAACAAACAAACACAGTCCAGTGCCACAGCCACACCATTTGTGGAGCCAATGTTGTTATATGTTTAAATATGCTTCTTAGTTTCAACCAATGGTGTGAGTTTGGGGGCGGGGCTATTTGTTGAAATGACCAATAGCGGGCTGGGGGTGTGTTTTGGAAAACAGCTGTTTTCAATTTAGTTTAACACTAGTAGTGATCAAATGATACACTTCACCTTCATTTCCCTCTAAAACAACACAAAGCAGAAAAGAGAAAAACAAACCCGACATGTGCAGTAAAAACAGACCAGCACAAGCTCAAACTGTCAGACTGTTTAAATAATAAGTGTGAGGGCATGTGAACACAATGTACTTCAAGCTGATGTGCCGTTTCACTCACGTCGTCTCTTGCTTTCCTGTTGCGACAAGGCCAGAGGAGAGAAAAGCACATTCCTTCCCGTGACAGTGCATCTTAACAAGATCAATTTTTAATTTTCTGACAAAACCACTAAGATCCGGGCCAGCGGCACACCTGCATCGCTCCAGGCAGACTCACGACCCGTCCAGAGCGTCTGATGCTTTGTGTCGGCCGCTGAGCGCGTGTGTGTTAGAACAGAGGTGTGTTAATGCAAAAAAGAAGTGACAGGAAAGGTCAGTGACAAACAAAACTGCACACAAATGGAGGAGGAGGAGCAGAGAAACAGATGGAGGAGAGGAGGACAGATAGAGTACCTTGAGGAGAAGCTAAAGATTGCGAAGCCAGAGCCACAGTGGACAGAGGAGGAGATCAGGGGACGAGAGAGAGACACAAACACACACTTCAACACATGAAAGAAAGAAACATACATATTCATATCTGACAGAAGAAACAGAGCAGCATTCTGGGAAGACGTCCTGACATACAGAGCCTCCAGATACACATTTTGCTCATATTGTTCCAAACCTGTATGACTTTCATTCTTGCAAGGAACTTTTCTTTTTTATACAATGAAAGTGTACATGGTCATTTGAATGTTTGGTGTTGGTTGGTTTTTTAATATTTTTAAAAAGTTATCTCTTATGCTCATCAAGGCTGCATTTATTTACTCAAAAATACAGTAGAATCAGTAAAATTGTGAACTATTATTACAATTTAAAATAACTTTTCAATTTGTATTAAATTTCAATTTTAAATTTCAAAGATTAAATCAATTTGTTTAAAATGTAATTATTTCCTATGATGCAAAGTTGAATTTTCAGCATCATTACTCCAGTCTTCAGTGTCACATGATCTTCAGAAATCATTCTAATATGCTGATTTGATGTTCAAGAAACATCTATTATTATTATTATTATTATCAACGTCAAAAACAGTTGCGCTGCTTCATATTTTTGTAGAAATATTTTTTGATGAATAGAATGTTTAAAAGCACAACATTTATTCGAAATATAATTTTTTAAGAATTTTCTTTACTGTCACTTTTGACCAATTTAATGCATTCTTGATAAATAAAAGTATTAATTTCTTTCAAAAATGTGTATTTTTAGAGTATTTTTACACAGACCAAAATGTTATTTAATTCTCTCTCAAATCGCATTCATATATTATTACATATTCAAATATGCTGCATGATGACATATGTCCGATAGATAAAATGAGTAATACTGAAGAACGAGTCACTAAATTTGCAGAAGTTAGCCAGGTTTAAAGCATTAAATCTATGCAAGATGCTGAGTTAAGACATGTCACAGCAAGTCGAGAGACTTAACATTAAACAACATATTAGTGACAGCAACTGGATATTCCATTAGTTTGTGTTCTGACTCTTAATTTTTGTCAGTGAAATTCAGCATTAACTATTATAGAGACACAGAATTAAAGGTTACACACATTGCATGTATCTAAATGGCACATAAAAATGTATAGTTTGATTTCTTTTACAAATCAGTTCCTCTTCCTGTCATTTTGATGTGCTAGCTAGCAAAACTATGTCATGTTTGACACAAATTAATCCAAATTTCATTGATTGTCATTTCTCATAACTAATTGAGAAGCAACAACTTTGAATATATGGGTGTGCAAATGCATTTAGGTGGGGGGGTTTCAGGAGACTTTAATCAGATTTTTCCTCTCAAAGCATCATATGAATTCAGAAGAACTGGAATACATCATATGGATGTTATTTGTAGGCCTTCAATGTTTGTAAAAGAGCAGCGTGAACATTCTGGGAAACATCTCCTTGTGTGTTGCATGTGTGAAATGAAGTCACACCAGGGGCCTGTTCTTCGTACGTCGCTTATTACATCTGAGATGATTTGAAAGATTCCAGATCTTCTAATCCTGATAACTGATCACTGGCTAATTTGATTCTTCAAACGAATTTGCGTATTAGATTAAAATATCTGGATTAAGTTGTCTAGGATTACTGCGCGTTCTCCGAAAAGGGCAGATGTATCGATACTCGAAACCACGATCAGCAATGCAGCGATTGGCTGGCGGCGAGACAGCAACGTAATGACATCATATCATTAAAAAAGACACCTGACGAAAAACTTGACAAATTTCTGAACCTTTATAAGGAATCAGCCAAGCGATCAAAACTACATGAATGGTATAATAGAAAAATGAAATGTGCACTGTTTTTATTTATTTATTTATTTTTTTTTTTTACATGATTCCCAATTATTTATATTCACCATTTCTAGTATTTGTACAGGCTTTACATTTTTATTTCAATGTTGTAATTAGCAATTCATTTAATTTTATATTTGAACAGATTTGTTACGTTACAGCATTAATTAAAGTTTCTTAAGGGTCAAGATCAAGTTATCTGCATCTCCTGTGCTCCATCAAGCCACTTCCATAATAGCTGTCATCACTCAAATTAATGCACGGCTCAGATTAACTGTATACATAAAGAAATTATTTCATCATAAATATTTCAATGAGTAAAAGTGCCTGTGTCTATATATAGACACAGACAGTTTTACTCATTTAAATATACTATAGCCTATAGACTACACAACATTATTATATTGTTTTTCAATTTATTTTAAAATTATTATTATTTTAAATTACTGTCCCTGGATCAGTAGGATACTCTTCTAATGAAGTAGCAGTAGGACAGATTTTAAGTATCAATTCTGCTTAAAAAGATGCGATCTAATCCAGTTTACATGAAATAAGCCTGCTGCCGAGCAGGTTTAAGCTAACAGACCTGTTGCTATGACAGCAACTCCGGGATGAGCTTCGAAGAACCAAACAATCCAAGATCAGGCGAAATCATCAACAATCAAATCCAGCTAACTGAGTTAGCGACGTACGAAGAACGGGCCCCTGGAACAGATGTGTAAATGTTTTTGTTTCTCTTATCTTAATGCTCTATTAACGCAGCGTTTAAACATCCAGCTCATCAGAAACTGGCTCCTAGAGCGTTCTCACCTTCACCCCGCCGGTCCCTTCAGCATTGCTGTTCATCATGGCGTTAAACGAGGCGAAGAGATTCCTCAGGGACTCCATGAAATCACTCTCGCCTTTGTTCTCGTAGAGCCTGAAGGAAAACACACAAACAGCAGATGATCAGGGGCTCGAGCGGCGAGAATCATTTCATCTAAATCATCAGAGAGGCAGCAGACCGCTCTACATGTGTTTGGAATGCAAATCCATGACATCAAACTAGCCGGGGAGCCATACAAATCCACATCAAAAACAATGTGTCAACCTCCACACACACACACACACACTCCCACCTGTTCACTGGCACCTCTAAACTAGCTCCTGATTACAGGCTGATCAGATTGATGAATTGCTCCGTAATCTAGTTTGAAGGGCAGAGAGCTGACGGGCCGTCTCGGCGCTGCTCCAAAGAGCCACACAAACACCGGGAGGATTCCCGCACTCACGCTTTCATTAAACGCTCACCGATGGCCTTTGCTGATGCGATTAGCGCCACCTGATTTTCTGTGCTCTGGTTACGGTGAGGGTCAGACAATCTCGCTCTCATCCAGAGCGTTTACATTAGACCGGCCCTCCGTCAACACACACACACACTTAGTTAATGGCCCGTCAAAAATATTGAAATATGCTTCACACTCCAGTTGACCATTAATTATTTTGAAGTACTTTATACTCATTAATTACTAAAGCAAAGGGGAGATATGGTAATTTTTTTTTTTTTTCATATTTAACCTCAAAATTAAACAAAATAAAATTATACTTTGCAAAAATCAAATCAAATCAAAAAATCAAGAAATGCTGAGGTCATATTTAATCCCAAAATCCAATGGAAAAATAAGGAATTATAATTAGCAAAAAAAAGTCAATCAATTAATAAAAAAAAGTCAAAAAATGCCAAGGTCATATTTAACCCCAAAATCAAATAGAAAAATAAGAAATTAAATTTTGCAAAAAAATAAAATAAATAAATAAAAATAAACAAACAAACTGTCAAGAAATGCTGAGGTCATATTTAACCCCAAAATCAAATAGAAAAAATAAATTAATTAAATTTTGCACAAAAAAAAATAAATAATAAAAATAAACAAACAAGCTGTGAAGATATGCTGAGATCATATTTAACACTAAAATCAAACAAAAAAATAAGAAATATTTTGCAATAATCAACCAATCAATAAATTAATAAATAAATGTTAAGAAATGCTGAGGTCATATTTAACCCCAAAATCAAATAGAAAAAAAAGAAATTAAATTTTGCCAAAAAATTAAATAAATAAATAAAACAAACAATCTGTTAAGAAATGCTGAGGTCATATTTAACAATAGAATATAAACGAAAAATAAGCAAATGTATTTTGCAAGAAATAAATAAATATAGAGAAATATTTAATAAATAAGAAATAGTTTTTTGCATAAATTATTCAAGGTCATATTTCACCACAAAATCAAATTTTAAAAAAATTACAAAAACATGAACAAAATAATTCTCTCATTGCTGTAATGACAGAAAAGAGTGAAGCACTTTTGTAAGTATTCATCATGGTAGTATGTCTTGTAATTTAGGCTCATTATAAAATAAAAACAATATTAATGTGAAGATGTTGAGAATTGTTTGTGTGTGCGCGTTTTGTGCAAATAATTGTGTATAGAATAAATGTTTATTTTAAAAATGATTATTTTGACTTTTTTTGTGAATGCTGGTTTAAAGGTCATCAGAATCATTTGAAGGAGAATAATGCAATAGAAAGATCCTGAGCAGGGCTGCAGTAAACACTGAAATTGATGAACATTTGATGAAACCGCATATTGATGAGGTTTTCCTTCTGACACCGATAGCTATTCAATCTTACGATAACTGTTATTTTTGGCCATATTTCTCATCATTTTCACTGCAGTCTGAAGCCCTGACTGGGAGATGTGTGCGGTCGGGTCGGGCATGTGTTGGTGAACAGCGGCAGCAGGTAGAGTCTGTGAGCGAGCAGAGAAGTCAATCAGATCAGACTCTGCTCATTAGTGTCTCTCACAGCGCTCTGCGGTGTCAAGCGCTCTCAGCGTTCAGGTAGTTAAAGAGACACCATCATATACTTCACCTGCAGACAACAAGCTAATCACCAGCGCTGAACTTAATTTAGGCTGAGTCATTACTCAACATGTCCTCCGTCTCCCTAAATCAGCGCCGCTGCCCGTTCCACTTCCTGTCCGCCTCAAACACATCCTCCATCTGTCAGGAAACCAGGGCACTTCGGTTTGATAAAGGTGTGCCATTTCAGATCTGCACATTAAATCAAGCTGTCACATCTCTTAGCCTTAACTGCAGCTTATTGGCTGGGAAACCCATATTTCGGAGGAGAAAAATAAAGAAGTTTTAGAGTATATGTTGGATACGCCATGGATTATTATCTGTTTGCTTTTTGCCACTCGTCAAAAACTGCACAATAAAAATAGTAAAGCTGCGCAGTTTGGAGAAAAAAATATGTTTTCTGATTTTAAAAAAACGTGATTAAAATAAAATAATAAAAACAATACAAAACACAAAACAAAAAAAACCCAGGTTTGCTGTTCTTGTTTGTAGGGCTGCACAATTTGGCCAATATGTTGTGATTATATATCAAAATTAGATTATATATAAAATTAGATTATATATAAAATTGTTACTAATATTGCTAGCTATATTACAAATATTGTTGGCTCTTTGACAAATTGCTGTGTTCCTCTTTTTTAAGTGAATGCATAAATGCAAATGTAAAGTAAATAAATAAATACTAATTAAGTACTAAAAATAGCCTACTAAACAAAATACTAAATAATTACTGTTAATTACTATGCTAAATAGAATAATTGTTAAATTTTATTGTTAAATAAAATAGCCAAGTATTTAATAATAATAATAAACAACTAAACATTACTACTACATTAATTACTAAACAAACAGTAATTACTACTAAAGTACTGCAAATAAGAAATTATTGATGTAATATTTGAATGTAAAATTAAAAAAATCAAGTACTCAATAAAAGTAGTAGTAGTAATAATAATAACTATTATTGTTGTTGTTAATAATAATTCCCTGGTTCAGACTACAAGCACAGCTCCATGGATTTGAGTGATATGATATCCCTAAAGCTCAGATGTGCAATGAATAAAACAGAACATGAGAGATCTGAACGCACTGGTTGAAGAGAACGCGGGATCTCACGATGAACTTGAAGATGTACTCCAAAGCCTTCAGAGCTTTCAGCAGCTGCTCCGTCAGCTTCTCCGCATTCTCCACGTAGTTCTTCAGGACTTTTGTCAGCTTTCTGAAAATATCGGCACACATTGTGTTACACATGAAAACAAAGCACATACTGGCACAGAGAGGGCAGAATTTCACACTCACGTGTAGGCCAGAGTGGCGCTGAAGTGCTTGCGGATGTAGGTCTCCAGAACCGGATTGAAATGATGGAACTTCCTGTCTGCGATCAGTCCGATTATGAAGACCTTTCAAAAACAGAAGAGACACTTATTTAAAAAAAAAAAAAAAAAAGTAAAAATGAACAACCATGCATATTAAACCTTTTTTGATTTATTATTTTTCTTATTTTTTTTTGTAATTACTATTGAGTAGAAAGAAGTACTGATATAACATGTTATTACTATAATTCAGCACAACACACAATAGACTCAGACTGAGCTGTTTAGATTATGCCTAAATCCTATTATTAAAAAACTAAAACATTAAATACTGGGTCAAATTAAGCCATTTGTATAAAACCATTATTATAAATTATACTACGGGGCCGTTGAATGCTTGAATCTTATTGGCTGATGAACGTTCTGAGGTGTGCAATTATTTTCAGGGAAACGCACGGCGAACGTTAAAAATAATGCACACTCCGCTTCGCGTCGTGGCCACATCACCACATCGGGTGTGCATTATTTTTCTAATAATTCAACGGCCCGTCGTCAATTATTCCTTACTTATTTTTTATTTGTGCAGATTTATTGAAGCACAGGCCATGAGAATCTTACCAGAGCATCAAACACAAGAGTATCAAAGGTTTCACTGTCTGAGTTCTCCATCATAATGTTGAAAAGGGCGTCCAAAGTGTCCTGCAGAAACTAAACACACACACACACACACACACAGATTACAAGATGAAACAGAAACACACACACCATAGTGTGATGGTCAGTTTAACAGGATGATTTTAAAAGCTCTGTGCTTCGCTCCGAATCATTACTGAGAAAGCGTAAACGTGCAAACAGATACGCTGTCAGTTTCATGGACTGTCAATCTACAGCACATGCTGTCCACTTTAATGTCTGCTGTCATTCAGCTGATGCTTAATGACATTCCAGCAAGGACATCACAGCAGCAAGAAGAGAATTACAGCTCCAGTCCAGCTACACAGACACATATGTGCCACAATTCAGACACAAGAGCAGAACTCTCATTCACTCAGCTCCCTTTCATTTCACTCAATGCATCATCCTTTTATCTATGTAATATCTATATTTGTTCATATGTCATATAGCATTCAAAAACATCATTTTCTCTGAATAACTGTAAGAGGCATAATAAATCAAGGTTATATTTTTTATAATTTTTTTCAATATTTTTTTACACTGTCCCTGGCCTTCAATAAATAAAAAATAAATAATTACTTAATCAAATCAACCAATCAGATTTTGTCCCTTCAACTGGCAAGAATATTAAATTAATAAAAAAATACTAAGGTGACAAAGACACAAGATAAATAAATAAAGACAAACAAATAAAAGACAAAAACAAATAATTAAAAACAAATAAAACAAATGGAACAAATAAATAAAACAAATTATACAAATGAATCAAATAAAAAAACAAAAAAAAAAACGAATAAATAAAAATAATAAATAGACACAAATGAAGCAAACAAACAATAAAACAAATGAAAAAAAATAAAATGTAATAACTAAAACAAATGAAATAAATAAATGAACAAAAACAATCAATTGAAAGAAAGAAAGAAAGAAAGAAAGATGTTGATTTTATTTATTTATACACAGAAAACATCACTAATGCATGTGTAACCACGAAACGGCAAATATAACTAATTTTCCCTGAGAACAACAGATATAGCCAAAGAGCAAAGTGCATTATACAGCATTATAAAAATACATGCATGATACCGGTTTCTAGAAAGTGTTGCCAAGGAACTTTTTTTAAAGCACATTGCACTGTAAACACACTCTCACACACACACTCTCTCTCACACACACACACACTGAGGTTTATAAATACGATTGTTCGCACATTTGCTCTATTTCTGCACTTACAAATTCAGTGTGAAAACTCATTTAAAAGCTGAAATGCTCCACCTGAGGACGAGCGCGAGTGTTTGTGTTTGGCACATCTGCTGCGTGGCATCTGCTTACAGTCACTGCGACGAGAGGAAGAGTGTGCCCTTGAGGGGAAATAAATAAACGCTTGCGCTACTGCCAATGAAGCTGCTGCGTATATCCAGGACAGAACAAGTCCCAACAGATAGGAAAGTCCAAGTCTATAACGGCCGTCAATCTGTCATCAGTCTGAGATGAGATCCGGCGTGTTGAAGATGCCACCGCTCATGTCAGGTGTACACACATAACTCAGAAAGCAATCCAAAAAAAAAAAAAAGGAGCAGGAGATGGAGGAAGAGAGAGCATTATTCTAATGAAAGGATAGAGGTGATTCATGCTGGAGGTGATTCTTTCTGTGAAGAGTAAGTTTGCTTCGGTCGTGCAAAGATAACATTCACTAGGATATTTGTTCACTGAGCTGGAGGCAATGGAAATGGGAACTAATTGAGGATTTGAGTCGATATTTGACACTAGGAATGACAAACTAGAATTTAACAATTCAGGTTGTGAACTTAATGTAATCATTCTTTTTGATTCCAATAATGATTTTATAAAGAATATGAAATAAATAATATAAAGTTATTATATATTTTATATATTAAAATATAAATCACTTTTAAATATTTAAGAATGCACTTTTATATAATTTTATATATTTTAGAATTCACTTATATATTTTATTTAAGCAGATTGATATATATTTTCTGTTTGAAAATATAAAATATAAAGAATCTAATGAATATTTAAATATACTAAAAAGCAATACTGCTTTTTGATAACATTTTATTATTTTCTAGAACTGCTTCAACAAATGCATTACATATTATAACAGTAATATTACATATTTAAATTAAGTAAAACATGTAAAATGTAAATATTTAAATATCTAAAGAAATTTGAAATAGTATTTATTTACTTATTTATCCAATTTAAAAAATACACAGTTAACAGAATTTATTTAATTATTCATTCATTCATTAAACCTAGTTTTAGTTTATTTAAGCATTGTATTATTAAATAACATCGTCCCAAAGTCATGTCAAGTTCCTCCTCAGATGTTCTAGTAGAAAGTGTCATCCTTCAAATGTCAGATAATAAATAAACGGGGCGTAAATGTTGCGGTGCCCTTGAATCATTGACGCAGATGCTTCCTCCAGTGCGTTTACAGGGCTCTACGCTTACTTTTCTTTTTAGGAGCACGTTCAAAATTTTAGGAGCACCTTCTAATCAATAATCAAAAAGTAGCCTTCCCATTACGAGGTGATATTTGACTCCTCTAACTTTATTAAAAGTATGTCTTTTGTCAAATTCTTTAAATTATATTTTATAAACTTTTTAAAAATTGTCATTAAAATGACAGAATAAGAACAAGTAGAATAAGAAATATAAGTTACCAATCAAATGAAATCAGTATTAACAAAATTAATTTGTAGAGGTGGCACAGAAGAACACAAAAGTACTTTGAGACATTTAATGAGGCTCAGAAGTGGAATGAGTGCAATAAAATCCATAAATTCATGATGATATTAATGTTTTAAATATACAATTTTGAATATAGAAATATTAAATGATTTAAATAACCGAAAAGATACTTTAAAAATTAAACTAAAGCAAGTCACTGATTTTTATCACCGAATCATTCATTCAATTGATTCATTCGAACGGCTGATTCATTCAGGAATGAATCAAGTGACTGTCTTTATGAATGGGTAATCATGAATCACTGACTCACTAGATTCGTTTAAAAAAAAAAAAACGTTCATTCATAAACGAGACACCACTGTGTTTGAATGGAGATGCGCCGCGGCTCCGCTGTGTCTTTGTCTTAAACTATTTTCGACGACGAAATAGAGCAAAATCAGACAATAGTGTTATAGTCAGACAATGTAAGTCACTTAATATTAACTTCTTGTTTATTGAATTGTATTGTATTAAATCAGTATCACATTTACAAACTCCCTTAAAAATCATTAAAAGCTGTCACTCATCTTAGTTCATCTCGATCTCACATTTATAATCAACGAAGCTCTCTACACTGCGCAATGAATCTCTTATTTACACCCTGCCTACACTTTGCTTATGAAAGGATTCGTGAGATATGTCTGTGATACATTACTCAACGCTGCAAAAACACGTAGAAAGCTTTGAAGCTCCCCTGAGCGCAATCACAAGTATGATGATGATCGGGTCAGTCGCACTGGTGCTCCTAAAAAAATTTTCATGGTCGCACTGTAGAGCCCTGGTTTACAGTAAAGTGAGTGATCCGTGCCATAGGGCCGATTCCTGAAGAAACCCCTATCAGGAACACAAAAGCCATCCTGCAGCATTATTACATCGTCCTCACAGCTTTCATGCGGCATGTCTGTGCCGGCCGGAGAAATCCAATTCCAAACTTGGCAGTGGTAGGAAGGTGTTTTAGTACACAGCGTGAGGAAAGTACATAATCATGTTGAGTGGGACGCCTGCAGGAAACATTAAGGGAAGTCTGTGTGTCTGTCGCTCTGGGTGGTGAGCGCTGAATTATTCACTCGGTGTCTGGCCAATAAACGCACTGCCGTGTGATCGGGGTGTGTGTGTGTGTGTGTGTGTGTGTGTGTGTGCGCGAGAAACACACGTACTGTAATTGTAGTCATCCTGTGAGTGTGTGTTCTGCATATTAACAGCTGTTTGAATTAGCAGCTTCCTTCAGGCCACCCAAAGACAACTTTCATGTTTAAACACACCTCCGATTTGAATAGTTTTTGTGTAGTTGAGGAAATATTGCAATATATCTGTCGTTGGGCCTTATCCCAAATCAAAACTACTTCTGCGCGAGAAACACACGTACTGTAATTGTAGTCATCCTGTGAGTGTGTGTTCTGCATATTAACAGCTGTTTGAATTAGCAGCTTCCTTCAGGCCACCCAAAGACAACTTTCATGTTTAAACACACCTCCGATTTGAATAGTTTTTGTGTAGTTGAGGAAATATTGCAATATATCTGTCGTTGGGCCTTATCCCAAATCAAAACTACTTCTTAAACTGTAAAAAGATCATGGTTCCAATTCCTCTTACTGATTAAGTATTTATTACAACAAATGCCCTATTCTGAACGTGTAGTTTTAATTATATGAACATTTAGGTTTGATTTAGGTTTATTTAAATCTCACAAACTGGGTATCAGGACTCTGCCAACGAATTATTTTAAATAATTTTGAACTATTTTGAAATGGAAGTTTTATTTTATATTTCATATAAAAACTGATTTTTATTTTATATTTTATGTCATTTAATTTTTTAAATTTTATATTTTACTATAATTTACATACAAATTTACTTTTTATTTAATATTCTATTTTATATTTTATAATTCATTTTTATTTTGACATTTTATTTTATATTTTACATAAAAATTACTTTTTATTTTATATTCTACTTTTTATTTTATATTTCATTTTTATTTTAAATTTAATTTTATAAAAAAATTTATTCTACCTTTACTTATTTATTTAAACTTTGTAATTTCGATTAATTTTTTTATTTATTTGTTTATTCTACATTTAATTGTTTTAGTTTTTTTTAGAAATTTCATTTTTATTTTATTTCATTTTAAATGCATAATTTTGTACATTTTGTTTTATTGTACATTTTATGCAGTGTGTGCATAGGATGGACGGATGGATGGATTCAGAAGTAAAGCAGTGAGCATCTACGGTTCTGGTCAGTGGTTTTATATTTATGTGGCAGAGACATGGCAGAAAAGCTGCAGAGTCTGTTAGATAGAGGCTGAGGGGACATTTACAGCACACAGAGTCTCTGCCTCCATCTTTCTCTCTCTCAGCGCTGACAGCTCAAGTGTGTTTGCCTTCAAACACGGCCAGAGAAATCAGTCCATGAGACACCACCTTCAGGAGCAAACTGGCATTCAAACTAGGGCTGCACGATAAATCGCATGCGATATTTAACGCTCATCTTGTCAGAAAAGCCGGTTCTGTAATCAGCGGTAAATCTCCATCACGTGCGTGCTTTCACATGGAGCAGTATTAACTAAACAGAGCCGTTGTTCACTGATGAGCTGCGCAAAACCACGTTCATATTAAATTTAACCACGTTAAATATCGCATGTGATTTATCGTGCAGCCCTAATTCAAACGCATGATCCCTGAGGGATAAGTCACGAAACCAACAGAGCTCTGCCTCATCTCAGAGAGGCTTTTAAATCATATGCTGCATAGGAACATAAGACTCTACAATAGACAGAAATCATTAGACATTCAATGATTGTGGTTACAATTCCACTTACTGATTACAGTATTTAGTACAACAAAAATCACTCCATTCTGAATGTGTACTTTTAATTACATGATCTCAGACATTTTTTATCAGGGTTACTTCAATGAATTGAATTTTAATTTAAAATTTTTTAATGGAATGTTTTTTTATTATTTTATTATATTTTATTTTATGGATGGAGAACACAACTGAAACATTTAAATTGCAACGCTTATTTTGAGTTAGATATGATGAAAGCTTATTTCGAGCATTTCTATAATTTCACAGGCCCAACCACACACCCTACTGAAAACACTTACAGAAATGCAATTTCTAAATATATCTCAGCATGTTTTGCTGTTGCCTTCCAAAAAAACTAATAATCAAAAAGCGTTGAAGTGCATCAGAGAGTTCATATCATAAATCAGAGAGCAAGTCTCCACACCAACTTCAAACGTTTAAATTAGCAGCACAAATGTCTGCATGAATCCAAACGGACGTCTGAATGAAAGCTGTGAGTTTGTGTTTCTGTGCGTCAGATGATCCACACGTACCTTGACCACCTCGCCTCCCTCCACTTTCATCAGGTGACGGAGGTTCTGCTGGAGCAAACTGGTGTTGGATCTCCACTTCAGCAGCCCCAGGAGATCAACTACAGGAGAGCAGAGAAAAAAACACATTAGCACATTCGCCTCTCCATCCTGGACATGAAGCATTCATCATATAGAGACACATGAATAACATGAGCTCTCAGTCTGACTGGTCAAATCTTAAGCCATGAAAGGAACTGATTTCACTGCGGTGATGATATAAAAAAAGAAAATGAAAATCTGGACAAATATGAAGCAGTTCATCAATAAGTGTTCATAGATTAGACAAAGGGAATCACTCAATGATTCACGGTCACAAATGTTCTTTAACCCCTTAAGCTCTTTGGCATATTTTGGATTTTTTACTGATTTTGCATACCTGAATTTAAAATAGTGCCCTACTCACATACATTGGAGTAAATTGATAAAAATTGTCTCATTTCACAGAAAATACCCTAAGTTTTAACACCCGTGTGGAATAATTCATATTTTTTATTGTATTTTTTCATAATTTATGATAAACACAAATAAAAAATCAAATTATGATTTTTATTTTACTATGTTTTTATTTGAAAGTCAGATCTATTTGGTCCATCTCCCTGCAGAAAGTTTCTTTTGATTTCACTAGGTGCCAGTAAACAGGGGAAACAAGATGTTTTTTTGTATCATTTAAAAAAAAAGTTAGAGATTTATTTGAAGGGAGGCAATATGTCCACTAGGGGTCTCTATTCTGCGAGTTCAGGAATATGTGAATTTAAAAGAGTCCCATTCCCATATACATTGGGCTAAATGGATAAAAAAAAGGTCTAATTTTACACAAAACACCTTAAATTTTAACACATGGGTGGAATAATTCATAATTATTATTGTATTTGTTCACAATCCATAGTTTCATAGTTTCCCAACTCTGCATCGAGCTAGCTGCTAGCGCGCTAGGGGGCGGTGCGCATTTCACGTTCGTTGCGCCCTCCTTCCTCATGTTTGGAAAGGCATAAATCGACAGTGGATTGGCCTAGGAGTTTGATCGATGTCTCTTTGGACAGATCTGATTGGGGTCTTTTCAGACATATGACACATTACGTGATAACGTAATCGCCCATCAATACAAACGTGTTAAGGCAAAACTAGTAGAAACTAGTCAAACTAGTATCCGCACCACACGGATACGTTGTTTTCGTTCAAATCAAAGCACAAACAACGTAGAAAACGTATCCGCATGGCGCAGCTGACACAGAACAGAATACGCTGTTTGCGTTCAGTGGATACTCTCCAAAATGGCGCTAGGGTGACGCGGAGGAGACGAATTGTTGAATAAAGTCGTTATTTTTTTTCTTTTGCACACAAAAAGTATTCTCGTAGCTTCGTAATATTACGGTTGAACCCCTGATGTCACATGGATTATTTTACCAATCTCCTTGTTTTTGTATCATTTAAAAAAAAAGTTAGAGATTTATTTGAAGGGAGGCAATATGTCCACTAGGGGTCTCTATTCTGCGAGTTCAGGAATATGTGAATTTAAAAGAGTCCCATTCCCATATACATTGGGCTAAATGGATAAAAAAAGGTCTAATTTTACACAAAACACCTTAAATTTTAACACATGGGTGGAATAATTCATAATTATTATTGTATTTGTTCACAATCCATAGTTTCATAGTTTCCCAACTCTGCATCGAGCTAGCTGCTAGCGCGCTAGGGGGCGGTGCGCATTTCACGTTCGTTGCGCCCTCCTTCCTCATGTTTGGAAAGGCATAAATCGACAGTGGATTGGCCTAGGAGTTTGATCGATGTCTCTTTGGACAGATCTGATTGGGGTCTTTTCAGACATATGACACATTACGTGATAACGTAATCGCCCATCAATACAAACGTGTTAAGGCAAAACTAGTAGAAACTAGTCAAACTAGTATCCGCACCACACGGATACGTTGTTTTCGTTCAAATCAAAGCACAAACAACGTAGAAAACGTATCCGCATGGCGCAGCTGACACAGAACAGAATACGCTGTTTGCGTTCAGTGGATACTCTCCAAAATGGCGCTAGGGTGACGCGGAGGAGACGAATTGTTGAATAAAGTCGTTATTTTTTTTCTTTTGCACACAAAAAGTATTCTCGTAGCTTCGTAATATTACGGTTGAACCCCTGATGTCACATGGATTATTTTACCAATCTCCTTGTTATGTTTCTGGACATTGATCGTGGTTGTACCTTTGCTGTCTATAGGAGGGTCAGAGAGCTGTCAGAATGCATCAAAAATATCTTAATTTGTGTTCCGAAGATGAACGGAGGTCTTACGGGTTTGGAACGACATGAGGGTGAGTAATTAATGACAGAATTTTCATTTTTGGGTGAACTAACCCTTTAAGGGGTTAAATGATTCTTACTGGATGAATCAGACTGTGATAGTGGGGAACACTCATGAGAGTTTTACAGTTCAGCCGGTTCCCTTGAGAACTCTTAACACCACCTGAGCGGCTCCCATAGACATCGTCATGGTAACAGGAGCAAGTGACTTTTTAACCTCAAATGAGGCATTCCAGCAATCACTTGAAAACAAGCCAAAGTGAAACCCCACCTTTAAAACACACTCCTGAAAAAAACAAAGGTTTTTTCAGGAGTGTGTTTTAAAGGTGGGGTAAGTGATTTCTGGTAGCCAATGTTGACATTTCAAATCACCAAAACAAACACGGCCCTACCCCAAAAGGGTATCGCCCCTATTTTGATAGCTCCGTCCCACACATAGGTACGCAACTCAGGCAATGATTAGTTCTGTGAAACAAAGCAAAACAAATGTTACACCGTGTCTACACTGGACGCGAGTGGCACGGTGCGACAAAATACTATAGAACTCATTATAATCAGTGATGCTGTCTACACTGGATGCGGCGCGACAAATCCCCGACAGAAAACTGCTGCTGCGTTCTATTTATGACGCATTGATACAAATTTCAAATTATTTTCAACGGTTGCTTTGTCGCGTCCAGTATAGACAGACCTTAGCTGTTGCGGCGCGGCTGGATGCAGTTGGATGCATTGGAACCGTCGCGTCCGGTGTAGACACGGTGTTACTCACCAATCGAGAAGAAATAAAGCAACCCCGACGTCCGATCGCAGGCCTTCCACTCCCTGAGTTCTCTCAAGCGCTGGAAAGCTGACCCGATATTTACACGGGTCCTACTTCTTGCCTTATCGTAAGCCTTCTTTTGCTCCGCAGACCTTTTCCTCTTTTGTTTTCTTATCCACCATCTCTACCATTCTGTTGTTGCTCAGCTCGGCTAATGTCCGTCCTGTGCTCTGAGCGCTCTCTCCTCTGCATCATGAGTAGACACGCCCCTTACTGCTGATTGGCTACAATTTGGTACTTGGCCCGACTCAGTTTTCTAAAGCGTTTTTGAAAAAATACATTCCCCACCTTTAAAAGGCCGTCATAGAGAGAAACTGACAGAAACCTTAGTCTAAGTAGACATTATATTTCAAATTAAAACTAATTAGAACTTGTTTATATTATAGGTATATAAATGTAAAATAATTAATATTTTCTTTCTCTATATAATAATAATAATTACAGCAACAACAACATGTTTT